TTATTTATTTGAGAGAGAATGAGAGATAGAGAGCACGAGAGGGAAGAGGGTCAGAGGGAGAAGCAGACTCCCCACTGAGCAGGGAGCCCGATGTGGGACGCGATCCCGGGACTCCAGGATCATGACCTGAGCCGAAGGCAGTCGCTTAACCAACTGAGCCACCCAGGTGCCCTCAGGCTTTTTTTTTTTTAGAATTAAATTTATTTAGACAGTGTTTTATTCAGTTTTTTTTTAAGAGAGAGAGAGAACGGGGGGGGGCATAGGGAGAACGAGAGAGAATCTTAAGGAGGCTCCATTCCCAGTGCAGAGCCTGATGTGGGGTTCTGTCTCACAACCCTGAGATCATGACGTGAACTGAGATCAAGAGTCAGTTGCTCAACCGACTGAGCCACCCAGGCTTCCCTTTTTATTCAGTTTTGACTAGTTCATTTCCTTTATAATGCTGAGTTGAATTTTATTTTGTAGGGGTAATTTTCAAAATATGCTAGTTTATTTAAATTGGATTTCTTTAATTTTTAGGGTGCATATCCCTTAATCAGAACTAATATTAAAGGGAATATAGCTATTTCCAAAGCAACTGTATTCGAAACAGTGCTTCTTTTGGAGAAATCATGTATGATATCTTTGTGAAGCAGGTATAGTGTAGAGATTCTGCCCTTATCCTTATATTTTATACAAGTTCTCTTCCTTTTTCATTATCATAACTTTTTCAATCTCATATATCGAAAGAAGGAGTGGGGCTCCTGGCTGGCTCTGTTGGTAGAACATGCGACTCTTGATCTTGGGGTTGTAGGTTCAAGCCCCAAGTTGGGTGTAGAGATTATTAAAAAGTAAAATCCAAGAAAAGAAAGATAGAGAAGATGTAAATTGACTGGCATTACCATATTGCCATAAGGCTTAAATAAGAAATAATGCAGAAAAAGATCTTTATCGTTCATTTGTTTTCATCTCCTGAAATCAGTTGCCTGTTTCTTCTCTAATTTGTGCAATGGAATTTGTACTCTTGCTTTCCTTTTCAATGAGGCAATAGTAACTTGAGGCTGTCACTTAAGAATATTACTTATGCTGAGCATTGTTCCATATTGCTTATGCTGAGCATTGATCCAGGATAGTAGCTGTTCTTACAGTGGACTGGGCAAAGTTGAGGAAAATTCAGCTGAGAGTTGTAAATGGAACATTAGTGTTTCAGCATACTGGTGGAAGATTTCTGTTGACTTTGATTACTTGTTTTCTAATTTCTCAAAATCTGCCTTTTGAGGAGATACTGATTACAGGTCAAATTCAGGGTCAGATATGATCGCTATTGATCAAGAAGCTTCATCCTAATGAGAGTTCCTCATTCATGAAATTTGAGTACACATGTGTGCTTAAAAAATTATTGGTCCCTTCTTTTTTTCCTGATGTAAGTAGGAACATTCAGATCATTATGTAATCTCATAGGTCTTTGAATTTCTTTGATGAAATTTGGTCTTTTTAAATTTTTTATCTACCTAATTGACATTTAATGTGGAGGGTATGTAGTAAGAACTTTAATAATCAATTTAGAGTCTAATAGTTTAGAGTGCTTTAATATTTAATACTCTTTAATCTTCAAATTTTATTTATTTCTGAAATTTGTTAATTTCTTTTTAAAATGAAAGCGGGGAATTAAAAATATTTTGCATTTGTATTTCTACTTAGAAATTTCTATTTATCTAGTTTTGTTAATGATTTTGCTTATATTTCCTAATGATATAATTCATAGCAGTTTGAACCCCAGAAATGTTAAGTGGGACTGCCTACTGTATTTCAGTTATGAGATTTAAAAAATAAAAACAGCATGCTCTAGAGCAGTGCACATACATATTACACTGCTCATTGATTGAATTAGAATTTTAAGTGGTACTATGAGAAGCCATTTGCTTGCTACCTTGAGCTCAAAGGTAAATAAGTAAATATCCAGTGATTTATGCTGGAGATACAGAGGTTGGTGAAATCTGGTAATAAGCTTAATGGCAGGCAGAATTAGGAGGAGATACGTTGTAGTGAAAGCTTTATATGCCTGTCATTTCTTTGAATTCACTTATTTATGGAGAAAATGCCTAGAAGTGCCAATTTCATACTAATGTATAGAGGCTGTTTTTAGTGGAAATGGGGCTAAACAACTTATTTGCAAATTACTAAAGTTAATTTTTTTATTGCGTTATTATTCACATACCATAACATTCACACTTTTCAAGTGTACAGTTCAGTGGATTTTAGCGTATTTATGAAGATAGGCAATCATCACCACTAAGAATTAAAGGAGAAAATTGCTTTGTAAAATAAGCTCACTTGGTTTGACACATTACCTGACCAGTCTGTAGTACTAAGTATAATAGTTTACTGTTGGGCAGATGATTCAGTTTGGGCCAAGAATTTGGAACTTTCTGGAAGTTTTGTTATGACACTTCATTGACTCTTCTATGAGATGAACCCATTTAGTTCTGTTATGTGGATAGGGGCAACCATATTTTGAGCAGGTTGTGATACTGTTTTTTACTATGCTGTAAAGTATTCAGTCTGTGGACACATTGATATAATAGGAAGAGTGTGGTCTCTAATTAATTAAATTAATTAAAGAAGAGTGTGATCTTTAGAATTCAGGGAGACATGGCCTGACCACTTAGCCTTGTTAACTTGGGCGAGTTACTTCTTGCTGAGCCTCAGTTTACAGGAGATACTGTAAAATGGTTCAGTGAAGACAACATAGTTGGTTAGACTTGCAGGCTACTTTAGATTCAAATCTCCTGACTTCTATTTTCAGTTTTCTTTTTTACAGAACTGTGTTTTTGTTTTAAAATAAATGATTTTTACTCAGAACTTTTTTTTAAGAAACAATTTATCAGTCCACAGTATTCTGTTGGTGGTTTACAGAGAATAAAATAAACAAAATCAACATTCTGTATTTGTGGCCCAGGAGAAAGAATGTTTGTTACTGGGACTATTGACCATATATATGAATGCCTCTTTACAAATCTTGTAATTATATTTTAACCAATAAAATAACTAAGAGAAATCAGGAAACTTAGCCTTCCTTTGTAAGGTTAAATGGTGTGGCTCAGCTTTTGGGGCATAGTACTGAGAACTCTCATTTGAGAACTTTTTCTCATAGCGTGAGAATTAGCCTTAGCTAGAAAAAGCAGTAGCTGTTGGCTTTGCAGAAGAAAAAATGGTCTAAATATTTTCTACCATTCATGTAACCACAATGCAGAACTGTAATTCAAAGAAAGTTTTATTTTAGCCAAGGGTAATCTTCATTTTGAGAGAATTAACAAGCTCATAATGAAGGACTTTAGTCCTGGAACTTTGTTAGGCTTATGATTTTCTACATTGCAAATATATATATATATAGTTTGGATGAAGTAGTTCCTTTATGAAATGCTTTAGCTTTATTTCTTGCAGCATTTTATTATTTTTAACTTTCCAAATACTGTTTATTTCACTGAAATCTTACAGCATTTTATTTATTTATTTTAAAGAATTTATTTATTTGAGAGAGAGAAAGCATGAGCGGGGGGAGGGGCAGGGGGAGAAGCAGGCTCCTCGCTGAGCAGGGAGCCCAATGCGGGACTCGATCCCAGGACCCTGGGATCATGACCTGAGCTGAAGGCAGACACTTAACTGACTGAGCCACCCAAGCGCCCCTCTTACAGCATTTTATATCCATTCTTTGTGTCTAGGCGTTTATGACAACTTGAACTGTGGTCTAAGGTTGCTAGTTTTTAAGAATTGTCTGGAGACTGGTACAGTGTTACTAATTTTGAATGACTAAAGCTTTGAGGGTTTTTGCTTTATTTCCCCTCTCCCATCTCGGTAAACTTTTGCTACTTACATATAAAGAATTTATCTTCTAATTCAGATTTCTGCAATTTGTGGTCATTCGTATAGAATTATTATTTGCAGCTCTCATTTTGTCTTCCAAAATGTTTCATTGGATTAGAAAGAATTATGAGAAGTATGAAGTATTGTTAGGTTTAAGGAAGCATTCTGTTTCATTTTGGGTTTACTTTATTTATAATCGTCTTTTTTTTTTTTTAAAAAAGATTTTATTTATTTATTTATGTGACAGAGAGAGAGAGAGGGGAGAGGGAACACAAGCAGGGGGAGTGGGAGAGGGAGAAACAGGCTTCCCGCCGAGCAGGGAGCCCGACGCAGGGCTCGATCCCAGGACCCTGGGATCATGACCTGAGCCGAAGGCAGACGCTTAACGACTGAGTCACCCAGGCGCCCCTATTTATAGTCATTTTTAAAAATATATTTTTGAATTATTATAGAAATACACAATACAGTTATGTAACCCTACTATCTGGAGAGAATTGCTATTAATCTTTTGGTTGTCTGGTTTTTTGTTGTTGTTATTCTTAAAGAGGTAAAGTATCACTTTACTTGGTAGCAGGAGCTCACATCATTTAGTTTTGAAGCTGAGTAAAATGATAATCTTTTGTGTTTTAACAGAATATCCTGGCAGCATGCTGAACTATTTAAAATATGCTGGAGAGCATTTTTTTTTTTAAATGGGGAGTTGGTGGGTTGATATGGGGAAAATAGCAGCTAAAATAGAAAAAGAAGGATACAATTATATTCGCCATTTCTATGTAGTTAGCAGAATAGACTGTGTCTTTGTCAGTAATTTCCGTGTATCTTCCTGAATATCCTGCTTATACTTCTTTAGTCTTTTTCTCTAGAAAGTAAAGGTGGTGGATTCTCATCCTGGACCTAAAGTGTGGAGGCTTGTGTAATTTTATTTGTTTTGAGTTGCCATGGAATGTTTATCATGGGAATCACTTTTGGAGAGATTGATCTGATTACATTAAGAAATTTGAAATATTTGTTTTCCAGTTTTGTGGAGAAGTAAATGAGTAACCTCTCTAATTGGGTGATGAAAGTTGGGTCATTGACAGAACCTTATGACGGTAATTTTCTATTAATGCTAAAGCAAGGCATTTTTGAGTTCTCTTATCCTTAACTTGCGCTTCTAGAATCCCTAGAGGACCTGTGCAACAGCCCCTCGAGGACCGAATCTTCACTCCTGCTGTCTCGGCGGTATACAGCACGGTGAGTACCTCAGGTCTGCTGTCACAGTACCTAACTTCTTGCACATGAGCCTTTGATATCACAACAGTGTTTGTTTGACTTTCACGTGAAAGGTTTTTGGCAAAAGGTTCATTAAAATCCCAAATTGAATTAGGTGTATTTAATATAAGAAAGGTGAATAGGCTTTTTTTCCCATCATCTTAATAGGTGAGTGTGAAACAAACATTGTCTTAAGATACATTGGCTCGTACACCTGTCGTCTTTTTCCTCCTTTTTCATCTTTCTGTAAATCCACTTCTGGCCTTGTCTTGTGACTCTTTAAGACATTGAGTTTTAATTTTCTTTTTTGATATTAAATTTTTTTTTAAATTTTAATACTGAAATGGTTTTAATTTTTTCCCTTCTCTGATTACAAAAAAAAATAGAAAAGATGTTTGGAAATGAGAACACTGCTTTTAATCCAGGAATTTTAATTTTTTATGTTAAATGATTAATTCAAATTCATAAATGAAGGGAAATTTAAAAGGTAGAGAATGAAGGTCATAAAATTAAAAGCAGATTTCAGGTGTCTCACAGTGAGCGTAAGAGAATTTAGGGAGAACGGAAGAGTCAGACATCTTTTTATTATTTCAGTTTATCATACCAATAATTCCTTACCCTCCAAATAGGGTGCTTTAAAGAAACTCAGAGTGGTGAGAAAGATGAGTAAACAAGTCATTGTAATTTAAAGTGGTAGATAAAGCAATGATTCTTACCCTTTTGGGTTATGAATTACTTTTAGAATCTGAACATAGCCACAATGCTTTCTTCTCGAAAAAGAGCATATACCCAGTGTTTACATATAATTTCAGAATTTGACAAATATGCATTAGACCATTCATCAGCCCAAGGTGAAGAACCTTTAATTAGCGATGCAAACGTGCTATATATGGGAAAGGAAGAGGTCACGTCATTGAGGAAGTGGCACTAAGCTGGAAGGTATAGAACTTCTCTAGGCAGAGTAGGGAACACAAGGCCTTCTAAGAAGTTAAAATTCAGAGGCATGCTTAATGGAATGGCTTAGTGTGGCATTTGTGTTAGGTTTTGTAGCAGAAGTAGAGATGAGATAGTAGATGGGTTTTGGAGGTTTTAAGATTGTAATGAAGAGTTAAAACTTTATTGTGCAGGAATGGGTAGGATGGTTTCCCTGAAACAAGTCTCAGTTTACACCTATTATAGATCAGTTAACACTTGTAAATTATTTGAATCCCCTGACTCTTAAAACGGACTTCTTTTGGATGACAAATTGCCTGATCATCCTAGTAATTGAGAACCTTCAGTTTACATTGAAAAACAGCCTTTAATTTTTTTCTGGCATAAACTTTCTGTAGGCCAAAGGGTTTTGTTTTGTTTTGTTTTGTTAGTACTGACCTTAAGGGCACCTTAATTTTTGTCTGGGGGACGCCGGAGTGGCTCAGTTGGTTAAGCGTCTGCCTTCGGCTCAGGTTATGATCCCAGAGTCCTGGGATCAAGTCCCCACATCCGGCTCCTTGCTCAGTGGGGAGTCTGCTTCTCCCTCTGCCTGCCGCTCCCCCTGCTTGTGCTCTCTCTCTCTCTGACAAATAAATAAAATCTTTACAAAAAAATGAATTTTTGTCTGGCAAACTCTTAAAATATATATATTTTTCTAATTATAAAAGTAGTCTTTGCCATTCAATTACTATTTTCAAGATTAAGATAAAAGAAGAAAATGAAAATTTCTGGTAATCTTGAGTGATTTCTAGAAGCAACTACGATAACCATTTCTTTGGTATAGTTTCCTTTGTTTTTTTTCTGTGTTGTAGGCTCTGTATAAGATTTGATTCTATTTTGTCAGTTTATATTATAATGTTAGCTTTTCCTATGCTATTTGACATGTTGTAAATAATAAATGGTTGTCTATTTTGTCATAAGAATTTAATATTCACTGAACATTTGACAAATATTTCTTGAGCTTTTAATGTGTGTCAGGTACTGTTTGGCATTGTGGATATAGTAGTGAGCAAACCAAACCCACTGTACTCATAGAGTTTATGCTGGTGTGTAGGATAGAAGGGAAGTAAACAAATATATGTGCAATATAGTAGTGGGTAGGAATAAGTGTCTTGATGAAAATGAAGTAGTATAAAGGGATGGAGAATGACTGGACAATCCTGGACATTCTGTCTAAAGGCATTTAAGTAGAAAGCTAAGGAGTGAGGGAGTGAGCCTTGCAGATTTCTAGGGAAAGCATATTTCCAGTAGAAGGAACAGTAGTGCAAAGGCCTAGTGGGTAGCAACGTGCTTAATGTGGTCTTAGAACTGCAAGGAAACTAAGTGTGGTTGGAGTAGAGAGAGGGTGGGAATAGAATTTAGAGAAGTATCTGGAGCATCAGATTATGTGGGGCATTATTTACCATGGTAAGAATTTGGATTTTAATCTAAATGTGATGGAAAGCCTTTAGAAACTTTAAAGAAGTATGTCTGAATTTCCGTTTAAAGGCCATTGTAGCTATTCCATAGAGAGTAGACTGACGAGGGTAGGTGGTTGTGGTGGTAAAGTGGAAGCAAGAAGATGAGTTAAGAGGTTATTACAGTAAAACAGGCAGAAGATGTTGGTGGCTTCCTCTAAGGTGGTACAGAAAAAGAGATGAGTAGTGGAATTTGGTATGTATTTTGAAAGTAGACTCAATAGGATATCATGATAGCTAGCTCGGATGTGAGATGTGAAAGAAGAGTAAAGGGTGTTGTTAGGGATTTAGCTTGAGTAGTTGAATGAATGTGGTACTTTTCATGCAGATGAACACTGGGTGAGGACCAGGGTTTTTGTTGAGAAAAAATCAATAGACCTAAACATTGTTTAGGTGAGAAGTTAAACAGGTTGTTTCTAATATTTCCTATTAGAAATAACTTATTTGAATTTAAAGCCTTTTCTGAATTTTGGATTATATTTGTAAAATAACTTTCTAGAAATGAAATTGACTGAGTTAAAGTGTTAGACATGTTTTTGAAATTCCTTGTAATTGAAGACATGTGACTTTGTAAACTTAGTACTTTGGAGAGGAGATTATCTAAATCCTGTGAGTGATAGCAGGATATAGTGCCTGCTATAGAGTTTACATGCCATGTTTTGAAACAAAGGTTTTGAATTTATTTTTGAGTTAGATCAAATTTGACTTTTACTATTTGAAGCCACTGCCATATATATAGTCCTTTAGTCAATGAAAAAAGTGGGTGCACCAATATATATAGTGCCTATTCTGGAAGGATAAGAGATTTTGTTTTAGGCAGTAAAAAGTTACCTTAAAATATGGCAGTCTTCACTTTTTTGATCAGCCGTTTCTATTCTTAGCAATTTAAGTCTCTCCCTCACTTCTACAGTGTTGGGCACATTAACTGAATGAGTAGCAGAGTAGTGACCAGGTGCTTTGACATTTTTAATCTCCCTTCTTCTCAGCCCCAAGATTATGTACTGGTCACCATTTCTCTAGTGTCTAAGTCCATTAGCATCCTTTCTGTGTCATAAAATAAAGGCTAACCCTCAGTTCACCTCCTCCTGTCTCACCATATGGTGCCCATATGTCACTTTAATTGAGTTGGTTGAATTCCTTGAAAGGCAAAAATGGCGCCTGGGTGGCTCAGATGGTTAAGCGTCTGCCTTCGGCTCAGGTCATGATCCTAGGGTCCTGGGATCGAGTCCCACATCGGGCTCCCTGCTCCTTGGGAGCCTGCTTCTCCCTCTGCTTCTCTCTCTCTCTCTGTCTGTCATGAATAAATAAATAAAATCTTTAAAAAAAAAAATGAATCCTGGCCAGTCTTAAAAAATTATACAATCAAAGATTTTACTTTTTTATGTCTGTTATGCAGACTTTATGTCCTTATGTCAGCATTTCAGATAGGTTTTCTGCTGATAAAGAAGCATCAAAAGGAGGACTCTTTTTTTTTTTTTTAAAGATCTATTTATTTTAGAGAGGTGGGTGGGGTGAGTGGGAGAGGGAGAGAGAATCTTGGCAGTCTCCATGCTGAGTGTGTAGCCTGACATGGGTCTCAATGCCAGGACCCTGAGATCATGAACCGAGCTGAAACCAAGATTTGGATGCTTAATCAGCTACGTCACCCAGGTGCCCCAGAACTTAATTTTTATAATGCTGTCATGTTATATGTTTTAGGCTGATTATCATTTATTTATTTCAGCCTGATTTATAGAAGTTTCTCTTTGGAACATTTATCAGGGATGGGAGAGATAACTTTTGTCATTTTTCCTTATTAGCCATAATTACAGGAGAGTGATTGATTATATGAACAAAAAAGAATAAAGCTAGTAGCTTTTAAGCTCTAGTAAGAGAAATATATGGTAGAGAGGAAATGGCAAAACTGAAGAGGAATGAGCTAATTTCAAGTATTTTATTAATAGCTCTCTTAAGTGGCATGCTTCTGAAAAATAAACTGTGAAATTTTACCATGTTGTATATTTTTGGCTTAATATTTTATTTAGAGAAATTAGATTTTATGACTGTTAAGCCAGTATTTATTTTTTTAAGTGGGCTCCATGCCAGCATGGATCCCAACATGGGGCTTGAACTCACCGCCCTGAGATCAAGACCTGAGCTGAGATCAAGAGTTGGTTGCTTAACCCACCGAGCCACCCAGGTTCCCCTAAGCCAGTGTTTTAAATATAATTGCAGAAATAAACTTAATACAAAATTTCTGGAATAATGACTTTACTACAAGAAGCAGCAATCATATATACTCTGGTGGATTGGAAGAGTTGTGTTATTAACTGTTTCTGCAAAATTCCTACAAATAATTTAATCTGAATAAATTTCTCCTTAATGCTGTAACATTTCATGATCCTTTTTAGCCAGCTTATACTTTTAAAGTCTTTATTCTGTCATGCTGTAGTTCTGTGACATCAAATTAGAAAATAATGCTTTTACGTTTTTTCCAGTCACTGATAAATACTGAGTAGGCCAACATGTCAGTGGAGATACCTGCACAGGGACAAAATTTAGCATGGGTCGATC